GGTGATTCGTGGGGCAGCCCAGTTTTGTGGCAAGTGCCCATCAGGCAGTGTCCTCTGGCGCAGCGGTGTCCTCTGACGCAGAGATGTAACGTGACTTGCACCAGCTGGCCGTACCGACCAAAGCTCGCTTTTTTGTTACATGACATGCCTGCTCGAAAACCTTCAAAAGGTTTCACCAGTAAAAATAGGACTGGAAGCGGCACGCAGGTCTTGACCAGGTGTCCAGTGGTGCTTCCAGTCCAACTGTTTGACTCACTGATCTTTGAGCGCCCAGCGTGACCAGCTTTGAGAAAATCGCAAGCTGTCATTCTCGCTCATGTTCTGACTCTCTAGCCTCTCGGCTTGACTTGCCAACGAGTTTCCTTGGACCTTGGACTGCATTCTGTGGTCCTTGCTGTGCTGCAAACTTTCTGGCGCTTCCATGCCTCCGCTTCCAGAATTTCAGCATGTGTAGAGCGTAAAGCCAAGGCTCGCCAAGAGCGCTACATGCGGCTGGACGTGGAAGTGCGCACATCTGAGTTGGCACGCGCACGTGCCAGATGCTCAAGAGGTTGTTGCTGGCAGAGGATTTGCGATCAGATCTTTGAGGTTACGGGCTGCTAAGCTCCTACGTTTCACGGCTTTGACTAAGCCGAGGCAGAAGCGAACTGAGATCCTTCAGGGCTGCAATGTCTTTGGTCGAGATGAGGCTGGGCCAGCCATCGGGCCATGAGCCCTTGTCTTCCAGAATTTCCTGGCTCCTCAGCCGCGATGTCCGGCATGCCACCGGGCTTGCCCCTTCGAAGCATAAGTGGTCGGCCATTTCATAGAACATCGTGCCTGCGTGTTTTCTCTTCCTGTGACACCAGCTTGCAAGCCCTAGCCTCAGAAGGAGGTGCTCGCTCAGGTCTTCGTGCCAATTCTTTCGCCAGAGGCGAACTACGACTTCGGCGCGGGCATGCGCTTTTCCCTTCCCTGGTGGAAATGAGAGCGCTAAAGCCAAAACGAGCGCCAAAACAGCTACTGTCACTTTGCCAAGGTAAAGTTTGTTGGCAGGACTTTCCAGCCAGCTCATTGCAACGCACCAGTCTTGGCTTGGCCCTCTGTTTTCATGTTTTCAGATCAAAAGCCGTCAGCTACGTGGGCGAAGCTTCGGCACAGGTCCCGGGGTGCTTGCATTTCGCGTGGACCGTTTATTTTATCCAAGCTAAGTCAGCTTTGTCCTTAAGACAATTGGCGCTAAAGGTTTGCTTTGCTCAGGCCGAGCCACAGATACTTCTTCGGAGTTCAGAACCCACACGTACGCACCTGTTAGCAGAAACATGTGTTCAAAGGTGAAGTTCGCTGGCAGGGTTTTCCAGCCAGCCGCCCGTTCCTTGCAAAGCCGCACCTGTCTTGCCTTGATGTGACAACGCTAGCCTCAGACGGCTGGAGGTGTCTGCTTAATGGCGTTATTGGCCTGGGATCTGTTTGTTCCTTATGGCAACGGCCCAAAACTGCCGTGGTCACATGTGGTGTGAGAAGCGCTTGCGAAAAGAGTGCAGCCGTTGGCTGCGATTTGAACGCCCACCCAAGCCGGTGCACAGCTTAATGAGGAGGCCGTTTGATATGGTTGTTGCACACAACCCCCCACCTAATTGGAGGGCTCCCAGTTAAAGTTCATGTCATACCTCTGACTTCAAGTTGAGTCCCGGAAACACGCTGGCCCCATCTTTGGTCTCTCTGATCTTCGCATTTCAGGCCCAGCTCTCCTGGACTTTAGGCCATCTTGCCATCTTGCCATCTTGCCATTTTGCCGCGCAGCCTGCTTTGAAGCATCCCAGCCTGCCCGGGAATAACAGGGCAGGATGTGCAAACTGACCTGAGAAGATTCAAATCCTTTGTCCGTTCAAGTTTGCAGACCGGTTTGACAGACGACGTTGCTCGCAGGGCTGGCAGTTTCTAGGAGACGGAGTTGGCAAGATGCAGGTGTAGCTCATGCACTCTGGTTCCCCTCGTTCAGAGTACTGCAAAGACCTGCTCTGCAGCAACTTAGATTGCCGGGCTTGTGATGTGCTGCGAGGCTATGGTTTGGCCGCGGCGGTCACTGATCCACCGCCAATTGCGGGGTCTGGGTCTTTGGGCACATTGCTCGTCTGAGCGGTGTTCCAAATTGCCTCCATTTTCTCTTGACATAGCTGCAGGGTACTCTCCGTGAGCCTCGTCTTCAAATTCCTTCCTGGCTTCATCGTGGGTACGTTGAGCCTTGACTTGCTTTCGTTTCCTCTTCCGCATGTTTGGCTTGCGCGGGTCTGCGAGTGTGTCTGTTGCGCGCATGGTTCCCATGGCTCTTTTGGGAGGGCTTCCGCGAACCTCCCGAGAACCTGCCGCGAACGACATCGCGGACATCGCCCCGCATTCTGGTGAATCCCAGGCTTCCTTTGCGCAAGCTTTGTTTTTGTAAGACAGGTGGCCGGTGAGCTGGGCGTTGGCTCGGCCTTGCACATGTCAATTGTAGATCTTGAAGATGAGTCTTCCTAGTCCTTCCTCGAAGCTTCGCGGAGACAACTGCTGGAAAACTTTCTGCGGGCTTCCGCGTGTGGGCTCTGGGGCAGTTTTCAGAGTAGTGTCGGCTCCTTGACTAAAAGAGTGGCTGCAATAATTTAGAATTAGAGTTTTGCTCACTTGGGCATCCAGGTTAGTCAAAGAGTGGCTAGTCAAAGAGTCCGAGCATTGAGGCTTTAGACACAAGAGCCAGCTTATAGCTCGGCACAAGGCGCCGCTGATTGTGTTTGCTTTGCGGTGTTGACGTTGATGCGACGACTTTTGCCTCCGGAACTCAGCTGGAAACCCAACTCAGCCAGTCACGTGCCTCCTCATCCCCTCTTGGCAGTTTACGGCCTTCCTGCATGTCCTGCCGCTCTTATGGCCCGCGGGGAGATTCAAGGCCTGTTGCCGTGTTTAGGTGCTGAGGGGATTGAGACCCTGCCCATGCCTTTGCATTAGTGGCGGTAGGCACGTGACATCGAGCATGTTGCGGCAAAGCGGGGCCGAGTCCGCGCGTTGCTTTGTCTGAACTACTTATGTGTAGCTCGAATCTGCAGCCACCGCCGGCCCTTCGTCGGCCGTCACACTGAGGCCATTGGAACTGTGCCAGTCTTCATGGCTCGCCTTGTGTTGGCTCAGGTCTCCAGGCCCGAAGTGACAAACTGGAACAGAAATCCTAGTGCGTTCCAGTGCTTAGGGAGAGAGTTTTCTTGAATGACAACAGCCTTCACCGCTCACGAGGAGTTTGCATCAGTGTTGCAACGCTTGGCATTTGCCCCAAGTGACCTGACGAGGGGGTCTCAAGTCAGACTCGACGTATGTCCGCTCGGTGTCACTCTGGCTTGCCAGGGAATTTTGCTGCTGCCCCAAGCCAGACGTGGAAACACCAGGATGGCCAAGTCATAAAGCGCTGAACTCACCAGGAGGTCCATCTCAACTCTTCTGACCTGCACATGGACCTTGGACTGACTGTGGCGTGCCAGATTTGGACTTGGCGTTCCTATCGCGCTGGGGGAAAACTTGCTTCGCCCAGAGCTTGCGGAGCTTGCCGCAAGTGGAGCAACTCGGCTGGCCCTGGCTTGGACGGTGGCGAATTGTGTCACTCTGGGCTCAAGCTTGGCGTTCCGAGTTGCCAGAGCAGCTTTGCAGGACTCGCGCGGCCTGTGATTGCAGCCCCTTGCGCGCGCAAGGTCAATGTGCCCATCACACTGCGAGCAAACTGTTCCATGCAGCTACTTGGAAAGAAAGCTGAAAACATATGGTTGTTCAGATGCATGTCGCTGACGTAGAGTTTCGCGGACAGTTTGGCCCCAACCACCCTTGCTTTTCAACGAAGTGATTGTGCAAGGGACACACTGCCCGGAGTCACCCGACGCGCCCAAGTTGGCCAGAGATCTGTTTTCTGGCCACGGCGCCCTCCGCTTTGCAATCCCCCGGCTGGCCAGCAGCGTGAGGGCATGCGAAGCTGGCAGTGTCACAGTCTTGGACCTCAGTTCCGCGCAAAAGGCTCGGCAATCAAGATTGTGCTTGAGGGGAGATGGGTTTGTGTCTCAAAATAGACCCAAGCGGTGTCTTTCCCTTTGGCCTCTCTTTCAAATCAACCCAACAGGGGTCCCCCAAGAAACTAGGCACACCCATAGGGAGGCATGAGGCGAGGCCTGCTGACAAACTTGCTTCGCCCAGAGCTTGCGGAGCTTGCCGCAAGTGGAGCAACTCGGCTGGCCCTGGCTTGGACGGTGGCGA